CTTAATGAGCACCAGCTGAGCGTAATTACCTCCTGTAATTACGTAGTTGTTCTTGACGCCGAGTAACTCTTCGATGGCGTGCATCCAGGAACAACTCACAGGTGGTTTCTGGATCACTCTCCCTTGTCTCCTCCCCACTGATCCAAGGCTCAGGCACCACCTGGTGGCCAACCAGTCTCTCTGTGCCCTGCTCGGAGTTGGAACCCTGTCCAGGGTCCTCCACATCCTCCAGGGCCAACTCATAGGGCCCCTTGCTGTCAGAGTCTGGTGGCAGCTCCAATGGCTCCTGCTGGGCCACAGCACCGTCCTATGCAATCACCGTGTTTTTGATGCAGTGCTCATGCGTGTAAGATGCGCATACAAGTGAAGCGAGCGGGCACACTCACCCACTCACATTTTCGATTCTGGCCAAAGCGGTTGTTAAATTATGTGAAGCCCACCTTGGATCCTATGCCTTTCCAGGAGATGAAGCCACCTCTGAAACATCCCATAACAATGGTCCCGGATGGACAGGAGAAATCTGAGGTCCTCTGCTGCCCATCCGCCAAGGGAGCAAGACTCTGGATCTCAGTCTTTCTATTCTTCCCATCTGCGAAATGGGAATAATTGCCAAGTTGTCGGTGCAGGTGGAAAAGTTCATGAAGCCTTTCTCCAAATGGCAGGAGGAGCTGGTCTGCTATGCAGACAGGTGCCCTGAGATGCCCCATCAAGGCAGACAGCTCTATCACCGTCTCCTCCTGCCAAAAGGGGAAGCTGAAGAAATAAACCTGTCATCCGATGGTGATATCTGCCGTATTTTGAGTCAGGATGCTGCCGGAAGATGTCAACATGTGTGCCAAGGGAAGAGGGAGGGAGGGAGGGAGGACAAACTCGAGCTCCCCTCACCTCCTTAACCTCTGAATTGCTCCCCACTGACATCAACCCTGAACAGATGCCAAGGATTAGATACACAGCTGCTTTTTTCTGACACCATCGAGGGGAAAATAAGCATTTTTCTCCCTGCCAGTCACTTCCTCCTGTAGGAAGTTAGCACTCGCCCGTCTCCTAGGAAAATGAAATATTTTAGGAAATATTAAAAGGGCAGAATATTTTCCCCTAAAAGGAAGGCAAAAACTCAATCCCCCCACCCACCCACCTTTGTCAATGGGCCATTAAGGGCCTGGGCCAGTCTATTCTACATAACAAAGATCTACCTCCTTCAGGCAAAGACATAGTAGGAATTGCCCAAAGCCCTTTCATTACATCATCACCCAGCAAGAGTCAACCAGGCTTGGGACTCAGGACAGTCTACAGAGTTGCCCCATAGGAGTCTGATAACCAATCAGAATACAAGCTCAAATTCAAAAGCCCAGAGAGGGCATAAAAATCAGGCCCGCTCTGCATCTCTTCCCTTTTTTTTTTTGGCCCAAGATCTTCAAGGCATGGGATCCTGTTCACCATTAAAACCATCTTTCCAAGCAGCTGCCATGTTTCCAGTGTCTTTTCCCCCACTTGCAACTGAACCCAGAAAGACATTTCTTCCAACACTTCCAACGGTCACCAACCGGTGGTCCATGGACCACTGGTGGTGCGCAAGGAAATTTTGGTGATCCACAGAAAAGTTATTTGCATTTTTTATATTGCACTAAATCAGGGGTCCTCAAACTTTGGCCCCTGGGCCGGATACATGCAATGAACGTTTGTGTTGCTGCAGAGAGTCTCCCCCTTTGGGGTCTTTTTGTGAAGGTTGGAAAGGGGCAGAAATTCCGACTTGGGGTCTGCTTCAGCCTCCTGGGGCTTTGGGTGAAGGCTGGAGGGAAGAGCCACTGGTGGCGAAGAGCCAGAGGGCCTCATTCCAGTGGGGCTGCATCGTGGCCTGGAATTGGCTGACCATCTCAGCTTGCTGATCCTCCAGGCACCGGTCCCTGGCCTTGCACTCCCGCAGGTCTTCCCTCTGCTTGGAAAGCCTATGTTCCTAGTCCTCAGTGAGGTCCTTCTGCTGAACCTCCTTCTCAGTCAGATCCAATTTGAACTGAGCTGTTTTGCCAACTTTTTCTCCTGGTGGCTGCTTAGCTCCAGCAACTGCTTCCTATTGAGACATCAGCTAAGGAGCCCGAGTGGGCAGGCGGGGAGGGTCTGGGAGGGGAGGGGCGAGTAGAGGCCGGCAAAGCACCCCCCCTTCAACATGAGTGACATCAAGTTGGCCACACCCACCCAGTCACATGATCATCTAGCCACACCCAGCCAGTCATTAGACAGATCATATTCGTGATCCATGGCATTTAAAATTATGAATGTAATGGTCCCTGAGGTCCGAAACGTTGGTGACCCCCTGAGATAGAAAGAGCTTGGGAAAAGTGGCTCCTAGGTATGTAGAAACCAGCCTCTGGGTTAGACCCTCAACCCACCTAGCACTTGGCATCCTACAGTGGCCAACTGAACGCCTTTATGGTTATAGACTAGGCCTGGATTTCTAGAATGCCTTTCTCTCGGCTCTCTGGTTGAACCCCTCCTGTTTCAAGGAGGCAGGAAGCAGCCATCAAAGTAAGCACTAGCGATCACCAGAGCCTCCATGAATCTGGTCCGGACCATCTGCGCAACCTCCAACTGGCTGCCATATGACCACAACTGCTGGCAGGGAATTCCACCCTTTTAACTACGCGCTATGCACAAGCGGATTTCCTTCTGTCGGGGGGTGGGTGGGTGGGTGTGAATCTACCTGTTCCTTGAAAGGAAACAAAGAACGGTGAGAGAACGCGTCTGGAATCGAAGCAAATCTTTGGGATGCGATTCTTCTCACTCGGGACTCACTCTGATGTCTTCAGCCACGACAGCTGGGAATCAGAAAGGTGGGCTTCCAACGGAGAAGGGATGAAGTTGGAGGAAGATGCACTGACAGCAGGAGATGCCATTCAGACTCCATGGCAGGTTTCTTCTTCCAGCAGTCTTCCTTGATGTTGCAGCTATTACTGTTTTACTATCTGTTTTCTCTTGGATCTAGAATAGAATAGAATTCTTTATTGGCCAAGAAGGATTGGACACACAAGGAATTTGTCTTTGGTGCAGATGCTCTGAGTCCACATAAAAAGACAAGATACATTTGTCAAGAATCATAAGGGACAACACTTAGTGATAGTCATAGGATGCTAATAAGCAATCAAATCATACTAGACTAGAATAGACTAGAATAGGAAAGGGAATAGAACAGGACAGGACAGGAAGGACAGGACAGGACAGAACAGAACAGAATAGAATAGAATTCTTTATTGGCCAAGTGTAATTGGACACAAAAGGAATTTGTCTGGTTGCATATCAATGGTGGGTTTCAAACTTTTTTAGAACCTCTTCTGTAGGTGTGGCCTGCTTTGTGGGAGTGGCTTGCTGGCCATGTGACCAGGTGGGGGTGGCTTGCTGGCCATGTGACTGGGTGGGTGTGGCCAACTTGTAAAATGTGGTGAAACTCACTTAACAACGCTCTTGCTTAGCAACCAAAATGTTGCCTCAGAAACTCTGGTATTTGAAGCACGCAAGTCTTAAAGCTGTCAAGTTTGAACACCCTGGGGCTTTTTTTTCTAAAGGGTTAGCGGTGCAAGGGTCTTGTAACTTGA